AAGGTGTCGAATCTGTTTCTTTCTACAGCTTATTAAAGTATATCTGAGCAATTTATCCCTGGGAAAACGATGATTCAGTGGTTGAACTTGCATTCTCAACATAAGGTAGTGCCGAATTCCAAAGAGGAGAATTATTTTTAACTGTCTACATGTAACTGCAGTAAGTTTATGAAGAGTACAGTAAATGTATCACTTGCAAAGATATAACCAATTAATTTTTTAAGAGTCACATTTTCAACAGCATCTGTTTTATATCTGAGAAATATTTAAGCTGGTGCTATTTATATCTATTATGCTGTTTACATAATCTCGAATTCAATATGTTTTTGCTTTCTCGATCATATAAGGTTTTTCCAGATTTAATTGATTATATTGAAAAGTACAAAATCGAATTGTGGTTAACGATCAATTCAAAATGATTCATACGAGGGTTGTCCTGAAAAATCGTGGAAAAAGTATCTAAAACGAAAAATAAGCAACACTTCGTTTTAAACTTTTCTCTACTCCTTAGTATGTTTTTCATTAATTCAAATAGATATATGCTTAAATAAACAAATTACTATATAGGGGGAAAATAACTCACGGTGTAAATATTCGCTATATTCACAGTTTTAATAAATTCTTGAATTCAAGAAACAGTAAATACGTTTTCAATAAACCTTTAATTTATCTAATTATTATTTTTTTTTAGAAATTTGAGTAAATAGTCTTCGACAGATATATAGATATGTACAGCGCATAGTCATTCAGTGGTTTATTCCCCGAACGTCTACTGGCTAAAACAACTATTTAATTATCACACTCAAATAAGAGGCCCTCTAAGGGGTCCAGGTAGAGTTTACCTGTATTACCTTGATTTAACAAAGTAGTCAAAATCAAATAATTTCATATTTACTGATAAAACTGTGAATTAAAGCACAGATTTATTGATTAAATACTTGCTTTAATTGAAGGCACTAAATAATTTTTTTTCATATACATGTACATGTAATAAATATTTTATTATGAATTATTTTCAAGCATAATTTTTTTAACCTAACACTTGGCACTTGAAGCATCACTTACACCACATTTTAACATTTTAAGCTTTGTTTAATCTATATTAAACATGGAGAACTTTTTACAAATCGCATTTGCGGGTCCATAGAACAAAAGGGAGGGGGGGGGGGATTTTTCTGAGCAAAGACTTTTCCTGTAGTATAGTCTATTCCTCTAGATCTAATATGTAAATTTTCATTTAGATGTTGCCTCTTACAGTCTGTTGCTGAAAGGTCGAACGCTGACGAATATTCCTGCACTTGAAAAAAAATCTACAAACAGAGAAAGTCCACCCCTTCCCACACAGGAACACACAAAATAGGATTTTCAAGGGTTTTCTTAATTATTTAAAGTTTACTTGTCATATTTCCCTGGGAGGTTGCCCCTTCTCCCACTGTTTATCTTTGTTTGGAAGCAATATGTAAAGTTAGCACCGTTTTATTTACATCAAATTCAGACACGTTGTATCGTTTCTGAAAGAGGGGGGGGGGCAAAAAAAATTGACAACTTATTAGTTATTACGAGTGATACCTGTCATTCAATTATTTAATTATCACACTTTACTTAAATTCAAATCAGCAGATGATGACCTGTTTTTTTTTTTGTTTTTTTTTGTTTTTTTTTTTGTTTTTTTTTTTTTGAATAAAAAGCTGTTTTTATAGCCATGGCTACATATTTGAACAATCAAAACACGTGGGTCGTGGGTTTTGATTACCTTTACCATTACCACGTGTATTTGTTACCTGATCGCGCTTATTAGTTTTTATCGATATTTGGGTTTAAAAAACTTATTCAAATAACTCTCGGATTTGCTGTAGATATGGAAGGATATTATTTCGTCGACGTATATTAACACATTTGTTATCGTCCAGTGGTTTTTGCTGCGATGTGTTATTCCTTTGGAAAGAAGATCATTGGATGTACATGTACTCATTGTAATAGCATACAGGAAAGTCATTAGACGTTTATAGTCAAAAACGTTTAACGACACTTGTTTTGATTAATCGTAAATTAATTACCAAGGCTAACCAATTTATTTAAACCTCCCCGAGTATTGTTCATGAAGTGAATACAAAACGCTAATGAATGTTGTTCTGACTCTACTGAATGCAGACAATGGAGATAACTTTTGAAATACAAAAACCAATTCCGCGAATTCATCAAACCGCAATCGTGTCAGAGGAGAGAAAAACGTGAAAATTACAACCCATAAAATACAAAATTAATCCCCTATACAGTATGGAATTTTATGCTATATGTGTTATCGCCCTACGGCGCACGGATGATAAAGTCAAAGTGTCTTTTGCAACGTCAATCTTCACATCTACAAAAAAGTTAAATCAGTCCCACAGAAATTTGGAAATTTCACTGATTGATGCACTCGAGCTCCCATTTGATACTCCATAAAAATATTAGAAGCGATCTCACTCACACATGGGACATTCAGAGATTTGCATTAGAATGTTAAAGACAGTACCTTCATTAAATTCAACTAAATAGGTAATCCCGAGAACACAGTTTTTCTACGGTCTGCAGCGATTGCGTCTTTCAGTATTGTCAGCAGCTGTTGTCCCTATGTTTTGATCCACCGAGAGACTCGATAGAAAAGCTCCCTATGAAAAGAAAATTCCCATTCCACTGTATTCTAATGTATTAGTAATATTTTTATAGTTTGGTATATTTCGTTATCATCAAATATAGAGATAACAAACCGTAATCAAGCTCAACGTCCATAGAAAAAATAAATTTAAAGTATCTTAAGGGCGTCACTACTCAGTTAACATATAACTAACCGTCCTTCGGTGTGTTGTAACGTCATCAAACACCGCCATTTTTCATGCGTTTCGTTTACCTCTTTCCAATTCAAAAGTCTAGGAAAACTGCCAAAAATAAGCAATTTTTTTAATTTTTAAATGACAACCTAATAGATATGGAATAAAAATTATGATCATTTTTACCCCCAACCTTATCTATGTTGTACTTATACTTTTTACCCTGTTTTTGTACAATCAAATCATTTAATTTTATGATGTTTAATTTTGTATCCCTGATAACTTTCCCCGGTTCTTAATTTCATCAAAGTGTTGGGGTTTGCAGCTGTTTTCCATCCCTGAAGCATTGTAGGACATTGTGAACTGCACATCTGTTTTTAATCATCAATCACTTGTTTGTTTGGCAATAATCGTGATTCTGCGTAATACATGTACACTTTTCACTTGGGCATCAATAGCATGTTCAGGTATATTCTGAAAACTGGCATAAACAAATCAATTGCATGTAAACATGTTTTTGAAAGTAATCTCAACCTCTTCTTTTGATAAAGCAATTACTGCAATTTATTAATCATTCATACAGTGTACTCGATTTTCATCAAAATATCTACTGTAACAATGATTATACGTGTAGATCTAGAAATATAATGCAAATACATCTTGAAAACAGGACGTAGCATCTTTTTCAAAGTAACGGGCTAGTAAAAAATAATTGAGAAGCAAATAAAAATGCGCGAAGAAAACTTGGACTCTCCCCAAACAAAAACGAAAATACGCGAAAAACTATTTGGGGATGGGGTGGGGGGAGGGGCAACTTCCTTTTTTCTACCCAAAATGTGGGGGCAACCAGCCTTTATTTATACCAAATTCACAGCAAAATCTAATTTCTGGAATATTTCCCCTGATACAACGTACGTTCTGCATGAGTAATTAAATATTCGTGCATTTACAAAAAGTCCGAGTATAAAGGATCATTTATGCTGTTAGCATATGAGGAATTACTTAGTTATACATAAAAAATGTTGACCACTTTAAACACTTTTCTATAAAAGCGTGTTTCAAGCAAATACATAATGGTTATTGAATTTTGCATTGAGATTACGCGTTAAGTATAGTGTCGTTTATCATTCAGTTTCGATAGTATACCGAAATGAGAACAAATATACAAAGAAAAATTCGCGCTAAAGTGACGTCACAATGAGGCTACAGAGACTTTTAATAAAAAAAATATATCAATATAGGGCAGCGAGAAATTGAAATCACAAGATTTTTACCAAAATCAACAGCTTAAAACATACGACTTTTCAACTTTATACACAACCATTCCCCACGTTATTAGCAGACCTCTTTTTGTATTCATATGAAGCAGAATTTATCCAAAATCTTGTACGTGAAAAGAAGAAAACACCTGCTGTGGCCTTCAACTCGACATTTAGATATATCGACAACGTATTGTCAATTACCAATGGCTATTTTCATTCTTATTTCGACACGATATACTAGTATCCTGGTGAGTTTGAGATAAGGATACCACAGAGTCTGACACATCTGTTTCATATTTGGATATTTTACTTGAAAAAGACGTTAATGGTAATCTAACAACCAAGCTTTATGATAAACGTGATGACTTTAACTGTTCAATCGTCAACTTCCCTTACTTATGCAGCAATATACCTTCATCATCTGCATACGGGGTATATATCTCTCAGTTGATTCGATACGCAAAAGCATGCTCTACGTATGTACAATTTCTAAAACAAGGTAAATTATTGACAAACAAGTTGATGAAACAAGAATATCAGCTGTCTTGTTTAAAGTCATCATTTCGTAAGTTCTATGGTCGATACAATGGCCTTGTCAGCAAATACAATTTATCAGAGTCAAATGTATTGAGTCAAATGCTGACTGACGTTTTTCATATGAATTGTTAGGTCATTATTTATACACTGAACTGTCTACAGATTTTTCCGGTTTTTGTTTCCCGATCATGACAAGGAGCACAAGGCGGGTGTGACCGGTTGGTAGAAGATGCTTACTCCTCTATGGCACCTAATCCCACCTCTAATTTTTGAGATCCGCTTTTGCTCTGCTCCAAATTTGTATCGTTTCATTGGACTTCTGAGATTGAATACTGTTCGTTATCTTCTTATTTCATTGATCTGAATACATTGAATAGGAAAACAATGATCCTCGCATTTTCTTTTTAATTCAAGGAAGATATCACATAAAAATAGTTTTTGTAATGCGATGCATAAAAACCGCAGCTCGCGATTAAATGGGGGGGGGGGGAGGGGACAGGGGATTGGTTACATATTATCTTCTGAAATCTTTAAATGGCATTAAGCTTAAAGCTCGCAAAATGTAAGCCACATATTTTTTTGCTGATACTCAAATACTAAAAAAGTACCTTCGCATTATATGTAATAATATTTTTTTCATAAACACTGATTTATAGAACAACTGAGCCTTTACACAGAGGTAGTATTTTTTTTTTAAGATTATTTTTGTGGATCTCTAAGGTTATTCCTATCACTTTATTCTTACTTTCACTCCACGGTAAAGGTAACAAGGGCACCGCACCGATATCAATTACATGCATTACTTGCGTAATTCCGTTAATTATAAGCACACACTCACTTACCCACTCACCCACACACACAAACAACAAGCGCGTTACTAAATTCCCTTCCAACTTCGATGCGAGGGGATAAGAGGCTTGCGTTGTATAAAAAATACATCATCTTCTGTTGAAGTAATGCTGATTAAAAGTTATGGAGGATGAAAAAATGTTTCTTTTGTCAAAGAAAAAGAATACTACAACAAAATTTAGATTATAATACACAATAAACATGATAGAATAATATGAAAAGGACGGTAAACAGGATTAAGGCATGGGATTGGTAAAGTGCATGACGAATTCTATCGTTTTCTGCAACGCATGGTTGGCTTATTCGTATCAAGATACAACATTGTCAATACGCCCATGTCCTATCTGTCTTGTAAACACACTTTCGCCACTTTTTAAAGCCAGTACGACAGTTTTAGAAACTTGGTTCCAAGGCGATTCATCGGAGTATACTGTTGATATAACCACGTGGCTCAGTTCCTTTCAAAAATAGCCTGGTCATTTTCCAAGACTAACGAATAAGCATATCACAGATGTTGATTCATAAAATTAGGAAACGTAAAGTGCATCCTCTAAAATAACAAAATGTATTATACATATATGATATATATACTAAAGTTAATATTAATTAAAACTTTAATTGCTGCTTTTAATATCGCCTCCTGTTACTAGATATAAATGCGGATAATTAAAAAATATGATAGGTATTTATATGTTAGGAACAATAATATTAGAAAAGGAGTTCTAGTATTGAATATATCCAGTGTAAGTTGAAAACAAATTTATGCAGTTTTTCAACAATAAATCCTGACTATTCATGAACGCAATTTTTATATCTGTGTGGAAATAAGAAAACCCGAAAATAAGTTATAATCCCCATGGATGCGATGCCCATGTCCTGTCTGTCTTGTCCACACGTTATCGCCCCTTTTTAAAACTAGTACGACAGTTTCAGAAGCTTGGTTCCAAGGCGTACTATCGGAGTGTATTGTTGATATGACCCGTCCACCTTGTACTATTTGTATATGTATTGAATTTTTATCGTACGCCATTATTGTACATGAGAATACATAAAGTCCTTCCATAGGAGCCGTGAAGATTCCAGTCCACTTATCATATCCGTCTCCATAATTGGTAATGACATTGTCGTATTTGACAATTTGGCTGTCTCCTAAATTGGTGTCTTTTGTAAGGATGGCACTAAATCCAACAGCAGAATTTAGATTCCCTAAAGAAATTAATTATGATAGTAATGAAGCTTTTTTATAAATCTGATATTACAATGAACTAATTTATGATTTATTCATCAAAACAAACAAATGAAGAATAAAATAAACTAGGCACCTTGAAAAAAAAAGTTACATTCTTATCGATCAGAAAATCTATGATCTATATGTAAATGCATATGAGGTGAACATAAAATGTCATTAATTCTGGATAAAAGTCTTTAACTCTGATTTTTTTTTCCTGAATTTCTTAAGAAATGTAAAAAAAAACATCAGCACTCTCCAACAATTTATCGGTAGATTGTTGACACTTCATTACAATGGATAGACTATGAAGTCACCAAATTACGTGGGGGATTCTCGTATATATTTATCTGAAATGACCACCGCATTCATTATCTCTACAAAATACTAAATTCTGAACTGTATTATCCCTTTAAATCTTCAGCCACGTTTGCACTGCCACGGTTGCGGAGTCTGCAGAGCGCTTGCAAGGTCGTGGGTTCAAGGCTTTGTCGTGACAGGCTCAAGTCGATAAATAATATATGTAGCAACTGTTCCTTCTCCAAGCGCTAAGCATTTTGAAGTAAAAGTTGCGGATCATTTAGATGAGGCATTAAAAACCGAGGCCTCGTGTCAAGGTCGGCGTTGGCATGATAAAGATCCCTCGCTGCTCAATGGTCCTGAGTCAGGCTAAGTAAACGTAAGTAAACGAGTAAACGTCTAAAGTTGAAGCCCATTACCCGTTTATGGTAACCTCTCTGTATGAGTAAAAATTCTAAAATGGGACGTTAACAACATACAATCAATCAATCAATCAAACAGCCCAGAAATCAAAGAATAAACAATGAAAAAGTATTTAGTCGAAAAATCGAATCATTTTTTTCGTGTGCTTTATCGGAATTGATTTCAAGAATAATATTTTTAAGCGATGAAAGATTCTGCTAATTTGAAAAGTCATGTGATCTTATAAAAGTCATTTCAAAATAAATAATCTAATTACTTTTTTTATTATCTTTCTTTGTGGTGTATAAATATTTAGAATATATAGACGTATTCAGGTTTGAATTATAAATATCATACAAAGGTAGAATTAACTAAAGGACATTATCAATCGAGAAGAAAAAAAAAAACTTAAGTTGTGTAATATTGTCTCTATAGATATCGTTTTTAAGGCTTTGCTATATTTTATACATAATATCTATATTATATACATGTATCTATTAGGCACCCTATATATATATATATATATATATATATATATATATATATATATATATATATATATATATATATATATATATATATATATATCGGATCTCAAATGATTTGTGGTTGGATATGATTTTCATATGCGGATCCAAATTTTTTTTCCAGGGGGCGGGGGTCCACCCCAGTCCAAAAATTTCTAACCCATAAATTTCTTGACAAGCAGAAAAAAGAACGTAGAATCCATTTCCCAAACGTGAAAAAAACTATTTCGTGGTTCGTGGTGGTGGTGCTGTCCAAGTTTTCCCGTGGGGGGGGGGGGGGGGTCCAAAGTCATTTTTATTTGCTCTAGTATATACTTTTAATTACTCTGCAAATCCCGGACCTCCCCCCCCCCCCCCCCAAACACCCCTGCAAATGATTTTTAATCAACAAGTTGTATGTTTTTTTAAATATATATCTCCGAGCCTTGGCGGTAAAATATTGGATAAAAACCATAACCAACCCATAAATCGTGGGAGATTCTTTTTACAACATGTTTTATACGTTATTATCAATGTTTTACACTGTATTCACGCAAAACCCATTGTAACGTCATAGCAGTCGGATATGAAAAAATCCAATCAGTTATATCCAAGGGATACAGGGGTAAACATGGTCTTACCTTTCGTTGTATTTTCTCTCTCTGTTGGCATTGTTTCACATAGTTTTTCATATCCATCCTTTAGATTTGAAACTTCCTCCGTCAAAATTCGCAGTCTTTTCTCAATTTCAAGTCTTATCATTGTTTCTTTATAAAGTTGATCGAGGGCTTCGCTTAATAATTTATCCTTTGAAAAATGAGTTTCTGACACATTCTTACTGTTCCCTGTCGTAAGCCCTAATTGTTCAGATGCCATAGTCGTAACTAAACATCCAAAGATTATCAAACATGCTAGTTCTATTCTTAGATTCATTTTAAGTTTTAAATACATGTATACAAATTTTCTTTACTTCAAATGAATTCAAATGAATTCCTAGTAATTTTTTCCAACCTTTATATCCTGGCTGCTCAAATTCCTGTTGGAAGAAATGCATCAAACATCGTTATTTGCATCTACTCTACGGTCGTATCAGTGACATTTGATAAACTCGAGCTCGTTTTATAAGAAACATTTAAAAAGAAAATTGAAAATGCAAATAGATTACATGAGTAATACAAGTTCTTATCATGAATCCTGGCATCTCATGATTTTATCGAACAAGAGCACTCTATTTTGTTTATAGCTTTTGGGACCACATGTTTGTTTATTTATTTTTTTATCATAGAGGTAATAATCAAGTCGTAAATACCTGTGTATAAAATATATAAGATTCCTAAAGCAAGTCATTATAGATATGTGCTAGGAACTTTAAAGTACAGAATTCTTGTTGCTTCAATCCTGCTTTTTGGCAAAGTGACTGGTATGTTGATACTTAACACATGCTTATCACATTACAAACACAATTTGTAATTGTGAAGCTTCTTGCAAAGCGGTTGCAGGCAAAAATTATTTCAATCTTACATGTTCCGACATTACCTTTTGGTGAGGATGAAAAGGTTGAAAAATCTTTCAGAATTTAAATGAAATGAAGCTAAAAATTTAGCTTGTCTTACTTGGCATTCACTTTGTTTTGACTTTCTTTGGCTTAATACAATTTTCGAAACTCGTTCTCTTACAGTTTTTGTTCTTTTTTCAGTAGAACTAGGTATACATTTCGACGAATACTGCATCCATGGCTGCTTCATTTAGAATACTGTATTTTATTTCGTTGTGCAATATCATCATACCATGGATGCAAAAATTAGACGTTTTTGAAATTCTTTTCAAAATACTACTCTTTCAAATTCTGTCTTCAGCTTAGTTCAAAATACAACTACGTCATGATACAGATATTTAACGTCGGTTATATAACATCGGTTATTGACTTCAGTGAAGATCCTTTTTCTAAGATATGTGTTTCTGATTATTAATTACTTTATATGACCTTAAGCATCTTCCTGTCCTTTGATAAATTTGTATAACTATAGAACAGAACATTTCGGACCTTATAGATTACAGCAAAACGGTCTAGGAATTTAGGGATTTTTCTCGAATTTTGATATTTCACTTACTTTTCCAAGTAAACGCCACACAGGATGTAAAAAAATATATAGAGAGAAGTGTTGCTCTGCTCAAAGTCATGACTTGATCGCCATTCAACCAGAAGTGTCTGAGGCTGTGGGACTACTTGATTATACATGAATTCAAAATGTGGGAGAAAGAAATTGTACTTTGAGTTTAAACACTTTGGTTTATTATATTTCTACAGATTTTATATTTTAGTGATCTCAATACTTTGAACAAGTTTCAATGAAGGGAAACCAATACTGTTGGATGAGTAGCATTTTGAAAGATTTTCACAGATAATAATTTTTGTAGCCATGTAAACTCCAATCATCAGAATCATTCTCCATTCAAAAGTATTTTGAAATTGGTATATTCTACACATACCTAGTTTTGTTAAAATTGACAAAAACTAAAAGTGATAAAGATTTTAAAAGAAACCACGTAATTATTTCATCTTTGTAGCTATGGCAACATCGCACTTCCTTATCCGAAACCTACAAAAGAATTATGTGAGTACAGTTATAGTACCATGTTCTAAGTTTTGTTTGAATCAGATTGAAACTAAAGAAAAAGAAATATTCTGAACATTCTTTACACAATATTCTCTCATGATGATGTTTCTCAAAGGAAACATCATCCATTACACTCAATCTTTGTTTATTCTAGCTACTAAGCGTACAACCCTTTAAATTATTTAAATCGATCCAGACCTGTAAGAGGAGGAGCAGTTTCTTTTGAAACAATTCATATAAATTTCAATTTCTACCAAACACCAAAACACCATTCACGTTTGTCTGATACACATATTTATATGTTTCAGTTGTCTTTTTGTATACCTCTTTTTATTGACATTGGACCAAAACTGCCATAAAAGTTGAAAAATTGTTTACAGACGAACAGACAGACGGACATACGACATCTTTAAGGGGGCTCTGTACAAAGTCACAACATGGCGTTCTTCCGTTCGAAACGCCATTTGATCCGAAATGATCTGATTCTGACCTTAACAAATTCACTGAACACCAAGAAATCACCGGGTATTACACAACATGCAACATGTAATTGCATTAACTCAAACGTTTGGTCAACATTGATTATCAGCTGTTTTGTATGCAAAACTTGCATATTTGAAACGAGCTAGGAATTTCGTTATACATGTACGAATTTCTTTGACCCACTTTTGACCATTTACGTGTCATTGCAGCCCGGAGGACCGGGCTGCTCTATACATATAAGTTTAAGTGTTGATATATGGGGATTGAGGTGGGAGAAGTTATTCAGAATTAAAGGTTTTCTAAACATTAAAAAGATTGTTAATCAGAATGTTCTTTCCCTTTATAAATTACGGGATACACAATATATTTACTTCCATAAAGTGAATCTGTAAAAAATATATATGTTTTTCATATTTAATATTACCACTTATACGAGCCTGGTCTCGGATAAGTGAGTTTATTTCAGTAACCCTAGTAATATTTATCTATTCCGGATAAGTTACGTACATTCGGATAAATATAAATTTTCACCCTTAGTCACAAGCTATCATTCCGGATAATTTAGGTCCATTTGTATATAGTCTAATAATAAGTTCGTTTCTACCTCCTTTCTAGAAGAATCGATTAAACGGTAAGGTCATGGAAAATTTTTGGGAGTTAAATTGTGGCAATGTTTTAAATTTTTTAAATCAAATAAATTTGATTTTTAGTATAACTATTGAGGTTTGTAGTTTCAAAGCAAATTAGACGTATCGATGGCGAAGTTTGACTTTGGATTTGGCCTGATTGGACTTTTTCGTAAATTGAATTGATTTTACGCGATGTTGTAATTTGTGAGACTTTACAGGTAACAGGAATATATTAAGATCAGCTTGGGGGTCAAATGATTGTTTAACTTGAGTTATTATTTTTAGGAGCGAAATGTTAAACTTCGAGTCCATCATAGCTATAACGGGGGTGGGTGGGGGGGGGATAATTTCATAAAACACGGAATACAGAAGCTGGGCTTACTAGAAGGATTTTAGTTTGTTTTCTACATAGATTTATCGTGCTCGAAGGAGGTATATTGATTCGCATTTTACAAAATGTAATCGTCGTTAAATCGGAGAAAGCATTCACGAGAATTTGTGCACTTTCACTTTTCAAGTAATCAAAGTACTGTGTGTACTGAGAGGAGGTTTATTAAATTGTGTAAGTGTTATGCTCTATTTGCAGACTTGTATCATTTCATTTGTTTGTTGGTCTTTTGAAAAGGTTTGGAACAGTACTGTTTGTTATCTTTTTTTTTTTTTTTTTTTTTTTTTTTTTTTTTTTTTTTTTTTTTTTTTTTTTTTTTTTTTTTTTTTTTAAGAAAACAAAAAGGTGTAAGGTTTTATGGATGATATTGTATGAACTGATTTTCCTATTACATAATGGGATAGGAGTTACATGTAACTTGTATATTATGTTACACAACATATGGGAGCTCATTTGGTCCACATGGTCAATTTCTGCATAAAAATCCAACTAATGAAAGCAAAATCACAGTTTATTGAAATAGGATGAAAACATTTCTTATTAATTTTGCAAGCATTTGTCTCGCAGTGAGCAGTCAAACTGCAGCAAAGCTGTGGAAAAGTATTTTTCATATGCATTAGAATAGGTAGGCAAATTTGCAGGGTTCAGGCACAAGCAAGGAGCAAATTATATTGGTACAAAAGGCAGTAAGTACATAAAAAACCATAAGTAATTGATAGTGATTACAGATGTATGTTACCATGATTATTTATTTTCAGGTACATTACCAAAAACAGGTCAACATTTTTAATTTTATTTTTTTTAAGACAGCTTTATCAGTGAGTCAACAGCTGCAATGGGCACAACATTCCTTTCCATCAAAGCATGCCCTTATCACTTCCCCAATAATTCATTAGAATAGTAATTAAAGATTTGCAAAAAAGAAACAAGTAGGAAATGTTGCAGTTGTGTTAATACTAGATATAAAAGTGGAATTGGCAAATGATATAGATCCTAATCCAGCTTCAATTAATCGCAGCTATTAGATTACATTCTAGGGAAAAGTATAATTTGGTTAAGCGTGTCTTTGTGTGAAAGGGGGGGGGGCATATTTCAAATAAACTGGTAATTTTTTTAAAAAAGATGGTCAAAATCAAATTGGTTCCTCGTCTCCGTCGGATGGACTAGTTCTGATATTTAGTGAAGCTATTAGTGCACTGTGATAGGCAGATTAATAAAAGTGATTGGTCAGGAGTCTCACTAGGATAAGCAGCACCCAGTACTTGCTCCGTATGTTGCTTATCAGGCTATCTTTGAATGGATAAGCTGCTAATGTGTTCGACGAGACGGGGAAACAAAGCTTGTCAAATAATCAGTTAAATTATATATGAATCAATTATTATTATTATTTAAAGATTTAATAGGTTGATATGAAATTGCAATATTGAATTTACTAGTACATAAGAAAAGTCAAAACCAAGGAGTTAATAATGTGTTGTCAAAACAATATTGATCCATTTATTTAAGGTACACTGACATTCAATTTTAAGCTAATCTGGTAAGGGGTATCCAAGATATGTCCAGAAGTATGCCTTATAAAGTATACCAGTTTTTTTCCACCACACATACCCGTGGACAAAGAGTTGCAACGTACTCAAGAATTTGTTTTCTCGGATATTTTATTGTGTTTATCTATTTTATTGCACACCTATGTCAGTGTCTAATGGGGATTTAAGCCTTGAGACTAATTTTATCATTCTGTTTAATTTTTACCAAATACATGTATAATTGTGTGTAATACACAATGGTCCACGATTATACCTAAATTTCCCAGAGATAAAACTACTCCCTTACAGATATTTTTTGAATACTCAGAACACTTAGTATCGCAATTACCTCGAATTGTATAACT